TCGACACAGTCCACCACCTCCTCCTCCTCAAAAAACTACACTCCCTCGGCCTCAGAGATTCTGCTCTCTCCTGGCTCTCATCCTACCTGTCACAACGCTCTTTCAGCGTTACCTTTAACGCTACCACCTCCCCCTCACTCCCCCTCTCTGTTGGGGTCCCTCAAGGCTCTGTCCTCTGGCCCCTTCTCTTCTCCATCTACACCTCCTCCCTTGGCCAACTCATACACTCTCACGGCTTCAACTACCACCTCTATACCGACGACACACAAATCTATCTCTCAATCCCCCCACCTCACCCCCTCAGTCTCTGCCCAAATCACACACCTACTGAGCGACATATCAGACTGGATGTCGCTCCACTTCCTTAAACTGAACCTCTCCAAAACCGAGTTTCTTGTCTTCCCCCCAGCCCGGACACCACCCCCCATTGACTTCTCCATCATGTCCAACAACGCCACCATCAAACCCGCCCTGCAGGCCAGAGTACTGGGTGTCATTCTGGACTCCAACCTATCCTTCCAGCCCCAAGTCCAATCTTTAACAAACTCGTGCAGACTCCGCCTCCGCAACATCGCCAAAATCCGCACGTTCCTAACCCCAGAAACCACTAAACAGCTCACCCACTCCCTCATCATATCATGGACTCGACTACTGCAACTCCCTCCTCACTGGCCTGCCTCGCCGCTGGCTATCCCCGCTTCAGTCCATCCTGAATACGGCTGCCAGACTCATTCACCTTTCCAACCGCTCCATCCTCCCCCACCCCCCTCTGCCAATCCCTCCACTGGCCTCCAATCAGTGTCCTCCACCCCCCTCTGCCAATCCCTCCACTGGCTTCCGATTGCGCAACGGATCAAATTCAAAATCCTAACGCTGACGTACAAAGCCGTCCACCATACTGCCCCGAACTACATCACTGACCTAATATCCAAGTACCACTAAACACGCACACTCCGCTCCTCACAAGACCTCCTTCTCTCTAGTTCCCTGGTCTCCTCCTCAGCCCATGCCCGCCTCCAGGACTTCTCCAGGGTGTCACCCATCCTCTGGAACTCCCTGCCCCAACCCATCAGATTATCACCTACTCTCCTCTCCTTTAGACGCACCCTGAAAACCCATCTCTTCAGGGAAGCCTACCCCACCCCCTGCTCCTCCACTCTTCCTACCACCCCATCCCCCACAGCTATCTCCTCCTGTACCACCATCCCCTCCCTCCTAGTTTGTAAGCTCGAAAGAGCAGGGCCCTCAATCCCCTCATGTTTTGCATTGTATTGGTATTGTTCTGTCACATGTTCTGTCCCCCTTTGTAATGTACAGCGCGCTGAGCGAACTATTGGCGCTTTATAAATACTGTATAATAATAATAATAATGTGCTTGTGGCGTGCTGAGAGACTGTGCCAGCTGCTGGTCAGGCAATGGGGTGGATTCTGACATTATTGTCAGGATCCCTGCAGAGCCCGGATCGGCTCTGTGATGATAACCCACAGTGGGCTTTAGCCCACTATCGGCTAAATCTAGGTCACAGGAGTGCAGAACTAAGTGTGACCTACAGGAGAAGAGAGGCCAAAAGAGCTTGGTAGAGAGGAACTAAACTGAACCATGTGTAATCCTTATGCTGCTAGAATTAGTAAATAGATAGGAAGGTATATTATATTTAATTGTTTTTTTTACATTTCTTCGGTGTCTTCCTGGTTTTTGGCTTAGGCCAAAATGATGTCATACATCCCAGGAGACTTCAAGGTAGGGGGAGCTTTCTCAACTAAACACACGCTCCTGCCTGAGCTAAAGGCAGATGGATTGAAGTAAGTAAATGCTATACGAATCATTTGCCCTTACTCAAGATAGCCTTAGCTAGAAATACTAGGAGGGTGTTTTTCAAAGTGTCAGAGGTGTGTATTTTTGCACAGCATCATGCACTTCCATGGTGCACAAAGAAAACACATGATGCTAATCAAGAGTGGGCAGCATTCAAGGCACCCCCAGCTGAGCACAGAAGTCCACCTTCCCTTCCATCTAATGTATTTTAAATTAGCAGGGCCCTGATTCGCTGCTAATACCAGTCATGTTGGCCAAGGGTTCTTCTCATTGTCCTTTTGCAAGAGGAGCAATATGGAGTACCAGACAACTGAATTATGGAGAAATTCTGCCATCTTATTTACGCACATGCCCCAGCCAGAGGTCCACCTCCCAAAATAAAGGAGTGTCCACATGATCATCCTTTTCAATGTTTTACTGTAACCTGAACAGAGGTGTACAGTTCCTTCCAATACACAAGTACAGCTCCTCCTCCTTCCACCGATTAAAAGCATGACTTTACAGACCAAACTCAATCATAACTCGGGGCTGCCGACCAGCACTTCAATTTTCCTCGGCTGTAGGTTCCCTTAGATCAGGGGTCTCCAAACTTTCTGATCAAAGAGACAGTTTACTGTCCTTGAGGCTTTATGGCCAGTGAGATTAGAAAACTCCACGGGTGTTGGTGAGGGCACACAGTGGTATTAGTGGAAGAAATAGTTCCCTATTTTTGGTATCAATGGAAGAAATGGTGCCCCATTGTTGGTATACTAGGTAGGAATGGTGCCCCATTGTTGGTATACTAGGTAGGAATGGTGCCCCATTGTTGGTATACTAGGTAGGAATGGTGCCCCATTGTTGGTATACTAGGTAGGAATGGTGCCCCATTGTTGGTATACTAGGTAGGAATGGTGCCCCATTGTTGGTATACTAGGTAGGAATGGTGCCCCATTGTTGGTATACTAGGTAGGAATGGTGCCCCATTGTTGGTGTCTATGAAAGGAATGGTGCCCCATCATTGATGTGGTGCCCCATCATTGTGTCGTGGGAGGAATAGTGCCCCATCATTGATGTCTGTGGGAGGAATGATATCCCATCATTCATGTCTGTGGGAGGAGTTGTGCTACATCATTCGTGTCTGTGGGAGGAATGGTGCCCCATTATTGGTGTCAGTGGGAGGAATTGTGACCCATCATTAGTGTCTGTGGGAGGAATGGTGCCCCATCATTGGAGTATGTGGGAGGAATGGTACCCCATCATTGGAGTCTGTGGGAGGAATGGTACCCCATCATTGGAGTCTGTGGGAGGAATGGTACCCCATCATTGGTGTCTGTGGGAAGAATGGTGCCCCATCATTGGAGTCTGTGCGGGAGGAATGGTACCCCATCATTGGTGTCTGTGGAAGAATGGTGCCCCATCATTGGAGGTTTGCTGGGAGGAATGGTGCCCCATCATTGGAGTCTGTGGGAGGAATGGTAACCCCATCATTGGAGTCTGTGGGGGCATGGTACCCCATCATTGCAGTCTGTGAGAGGAATGGTACCACCATCATGTGTCCTGTGGGAAGAATGGTGCCCCCATCATTGAGTTTGCGGATGGAATGGTGCCCCATCATTGGTGTCAGTGTGGATGGCATGGTGGCTCCAAGGGCTGGATAAAGGCAAGCAAAGGGCCACATCCAGCTGGCAGGCCACAGTTTGGGCACTACCTAAATGGATTTTCAGATGGGGCCTATACCGGCCCTACCCTGAAGGGCATACTCTACTTGAACTATGACCTACATAGTGATGTCCTGTAGGCTCTCTCTTCCCAACAACCTTTCTTCTAACTCTTCCAAGCCAGGTTTATAAAAGAATAAGCTAGCCCAACCCACATTACCAACCCAGGGATGAGGTTTCCCTAAAAGTGGTACTGACCTCTGCTTACATATGTAACTTTACCCTCATCTATTAGGATATAGCCATCTAGGATCTCTGACAAAAAAATTTGTACTGGTGAAGAAATAGTTTTAATAATGAAAGTCATTTGGGACTAATATGTTACAAAGTTATTCTAATGATGTAGAGGAATCATCATAAAAGGGTCACAAAGGCTCGCCATTATTACTGCTGTTGACCCTTTAACTCTACGTGCCCTCGACCACACAGCGAATCCCCATAAATTGTTATAAATGAGCTGGTATGGATTCTCCGTTCACAAGTGGTTTTAATGATGTCGGACTCTCTGGGACAACTTCCAGGCATTTTCCATACCGCCAGACTGACTGTATGCCGAATATTAGGGAATACGGTAGCGCGCTGGCGACAGGCCCCTGGTTGGTGTCGGCTGCGCTGGTAGCATGTTTGTCTTCTCCTCTTTATTGAGGTTTCACAGTTCTTAATTCTTCACCCCTCCACTTAACCCTTCCCTGTCACAGATCTGTCACTCCCGCGGAGTCTGGGGCCAATTAGTAGAAAATAATGTCTTGGGGAGAAGGTGACGAGGAGTCTGCCTGTGACATCTGCATTGCATAATGACTTGTGCTCTGCAGTGTGCTCAACAGGCGTCAAAAAAACTCTGGAACCATCTGAAGCTGAATAATAAACAAATGTTAGTAATATCTTTTGTCATCGGCACATGTTTATTATGAATATTATTCCATAATTCCAAATATTGCTCCTGTGCCCCCCCCCCCCCCCGACCTTCCCATTAGGTTCAATAGCCCAGCAATCTGTCCCTCCTCTCATGCCAGGGTGGTAGGTGTAATCCTGGACTCCGACCTTCTCTTTACAACTCCACATCCATTTAATGTCCAAATCTTGCCACCATCACCTCCATATAATTTCCAAAATGTACCCCTTCCTAACCAACTACACCAAAGAGCTATTAATTCACGTCTTGATTATTGCAGCTCCCTCTTTTTTTGGCCTACCTCTACACCAGCCCTTCTTCACCAGGGTTCCTCCAGAGATTGCTAGGGGTTCCTTGAGCTGTGGTGGATTCAACTTCACAGTGCCTGCATAGTTCCGGCACCAATGCCACCTGACAGAGCAAATGGCATGAGACCAGTGGAGCTTCTTCTCTCTTCTGTTAGTTGAGTAGCCACTGTCACCAATGATAATGTTGGCTACCTCTAAAGGAAGGCATTCTTCCCACTGAACCTCAATGTAAGGGACATTCTTCCCACTGACCCCCAATGTAAGGGACATTCTGACCCCCAATGTTAAGGGACATTCTTCCCACTGACCCCCAATGTAAGGGACATTCTTCCCACTGACCACCAATGTAAGGGACATTCTTCCCACTGACCACAAATGTAAGGGACATTCTTCCCACTGACCACCAATGTAAGGGACATTCTTCTTCCCCACTCTTCCCACTCCCTATGTAAGGGACATTCTTCCCACCGACCACCAATGTAAGGGACATTCTTCCCACTGACCACCCAATGTAAGGGACATTCTTCCCACTGACTCCCTATGTAAGGGACATTCTTCCCACCGACCACCAATGTAAGGGACATTCTTCCCACTGACCCTCCAATGTAAGGGACATTCTTCCCACTGATCACCAATGTAAGGGACATTCTTCCCACTGACCCCCAATGTAAGGGACATGCTTCCCACTGACCCCCAATGTAAGGGACATTCTTCCCACTGACCACCAATGTAAGGGACATTCTTCCCACTGATCCCCAATGTAAGGGACATTCTTCCCACTGACCCCCAATGTAAGGGACATTCTTCCCACTGACCCCCAATGTAAGGGACATTCTTCCCACTGACCCCCAATGTAAGGGACATTCTTCCCACTGACCCCCTATGTAAGGGACATTCTTCACACTGACCCCCTATGTAAGGGACATTCTTCCCACTGATCACCAATGTAAGGGACATTCTTCCCACTGACCCCCAATGTAAGGGACATTCTTCCCACTGATCACCAATGTAAGGGACATTCTTCCCACCGATCACCAATGTAAGGGACATTCTTCCCACTGACCACCAATGTAAGGGACATTCTTCCCACTGACCACCAATGTAAGGGACATTCTTCCCACTGACCACCAATGTAAGGGACATTCTTCCCACTGACCCCCAATGTAAGGGACATTCTTCCCACTGCCCACCAATGTAAGGGACATTCTTCCCACTGACCACCAATGTAAGGGACATTCTTCCACTGATCACCAATGTAAGGGACATTCTTCCCACTGACCCCCAATGTAAGGGACATTCTTCCCACTGACCCCCACCAATGTAAGGGACATTCTTCCCACTGACCCCCCAATGTAAGGGACATTCTTCCCACTGACCCCCAATGTAAGGGACATTCTTCCCACTGACCCCCATTGTAAGGGACACTCTTCCCACTGATCACCAATATAAGGGACATTCTTCCCACTGATCACCAATGTAAGGGACATTCTTCCCACTGACCCCCAATGTAAGGGACATTCTTCCTACTGACCCCCAATGTAAGGAGCATTCTTCCCACTGTTGATTTACTAAAGGCAAATATCCTGTGCACTTTGCATGTGCAATTGCTCCAGAGCTTAGTAAATGAGGTAAAGCTCTTCTTTGCAGTGAATACCCAATCAGGTGCAAGAAAAAAAAAACAAAACAGCATTTTTGCTTGCACCTGATTGGATGATGGAAGTCAGCAAAGCTTCTACTCGTTTACTAAGCTCTGGAGCAACTGCTCTTGCAGAGTGCACCATCTATTTGCCTTTAGCAATTCAACCCCATATTGCCTTTTTTTTTTCTTCTGGCATATTCCTTGTACCCTTTAGATTGTAAGCTCCATGAGCCGGGCCCTCCGATTCCTTCGGTGTGGAACTGTATTGTACTTTACTGTCCCCCTTACATTGTAAAGCGCTGCGTAAACTGTTGGCGCTATAAGTCCTGAATAATAATCATAGGATCTCATGCAAGACAGACTTTCCTTTTCTGGTGAGTTTGGTTAGGGCCGCTCAGGGGCCACTCATTCTTGGTGCAATAGTGAATTGACTGGGTTGAATATTTGCGGGTGTTCTGTAGAGATTTATGTTTGTCCATTATAGAAGTGTATACGTCACACCCTCCGGCTGGTCCTGATCCTGCACTGTTGTCCCACCAATACCCGTACCAGGGGCGGACTGACCATTTGGAAACTCGGGCACTGCCCGAGGGCCCGGGGTCAGTAGGAGGCCCCATGAGATGCCCCTGGTACCTTTTTCATAGGCTTTTTTTGAGTTTGGGCAAGGACACAGGGGCCCCATGATCCCCTATTGCCCGGGGGCCCCATGAGTTGTCAGTCCGCCCCTGACCCGTACCATTTCTTTCTTTCTTTATTTATTTCAGGTATACAGCGCCGTCAGTTTACACAGCGCTTTACATATATATTGTACATTCACATCAGTCCCCGCCCCCGAGGAGCGTACAATCTAAAGTCCCTAACTCACATTCATACATACACATACTAGGGACAATTTAGACAGGAGCTAATTCACCTCCTAGCATGTCTTTGCAGTTTGGGAGGAAACCGGAGTACCCGGAGGAAACCCACGCAGGCACAGGGAAAACATGCAAACTCCAGGCAGGAGGTGCCGTGGTTGGGATTCAAATCAACGACCCGAGTACTGCCAGATGGAAGTGCTAACCATTTAGCCGCTGTGCTAGATTGTAAGCTCTAACGAGCAGTGACCCCCCATCTCTCTTGTATTGAGATACAATGTAACTGTATTATTTTATTTATTATTATTATACAGGATTTATGGCGCCAACAGTTTGCTCAGCGCTGTACAATATAATGTACTGTCTGCCTTTATTTTAAAAAGCACAAACTCCAGCCATCTTTGCGCATGCGCAGGGGAAATCACATGGCTTGGGAGAGCCCTTCAGGACATTGCTATAATGATGGCTCTGGGTGTATGGGGGGGGGGGGGGTCAAATCCGGTACTGAGTGGGACTAAACCTCTGTTTTAATGCAAGTTTAATGTAGCAGTTGTTGAAAAAAATAATCTTCTACCCGTTCATTGCTGCAAGCTCAGCCGTCTAAAACTCTCTTGGGTTCCTAGGACACAAGTGGCCGGCAGGCGGTAAAAACGCACATATCAACCCGACCCCCCCATCTACACGCGGACACGGTGCCACTATGGTGCGTACACATTGCCGCTGCAATTTAAACATTGCGTGCCGAGTATGACAGGCGGAACCGCCTGTCAAGCATTCTGAAGCATGTTAATGGGTCTGCGCTGCAACCAGGGGCGGACTGACCATGTGGAAACTCGAGCACTGCCCGAGGGCCCGGGGTTAGTAGGGGGCCCCATGAGATGCCCCTGATACCTTTTTCATAGGCTTTTTTTTGAGTGTGGCCAAGGACACAGGGGCCCCATGATCCCCTATTGCCCGGGGGCCCCATGAGTTGTCAGTCCGCCCCTGGCTGCAACTGCAAAAGCAACACTTGCAGCATCTTCCCGCTACGCAGAATTGTTTTTGTTTTTTTGGTTTTTTTTTTTGCACACATTAATAAATAGCACAGATATCTCTTTTATACAATGAAAACTGTACTTTAGTTTTTTTTTTTTTCTAAGTCCAGATTTGATTTTGTTTCCATCTTTGCGCCGTTCCTGGCTCGTGGTTGCCTATAAAGCTTGTGCAATCCAAATCCTGAACTTCTTTTCATGTGTCTCTTCCCCCAAACACGTATGATCCTTCCCGTGTAATATGATTCAGGTTTGCTGTTTTCTATTCCGCGCCTTTGGCAGCAATACACAAGCTGACTTTTTTTTTTTTTCCAGTAAAAGTATATTTTTTCAACCAGGAAAGTTTGCAGCTCAATAAGTCTCTGTGTGATTACGCCAGCATAGGACTGTTGGCATGCTACCCCTTAGACACTTCACTTCATACATCAAACAAAATTACCCGGCCGCCCCCTGATCTCACAGCTGGAACCTATAACTGGGCTCCCTCTAGGTCTGAGGGACAGAATGAGCCTTCTGCTTTCCCCAATTTCTGCATACCTCCATCTAACCCGCAGCTCAGCCATAAATCTTCGGCTCATTACAAGCTGGCTGGGCTATAAAGATTCCTATTACTGGCAGATAAGAGAGCTCTGTTCTGGAGGCCCAGCATGCAGCACACTGGACTCAGTGATGATCCCAACAATTAACTCCGTGTGTGGAGAGAATGGCGCACAATATCGCACAGGTCCTCCATCAGAGCCAATGAATGGTTCAGTGTTAGGGCGTTCTTCCCCTCGGAGCAAGAGTTAAAAGAAGACTTTTGTCAGACCAATGTTCATAAAAAGTTAACAGCGTTTTTAGAACTTCCTCCGAGTCTTCTGGGAAAACGCTGGTAGAAATGAGGCCGGCCAGGATGTAGACAAACGGGTTGTAGTTTTTCACCTTGTTTGGAATTATTTCTTTGGAAAACAAAAAATGGCCCAACCCCCCAGTACTTGCACTTTCTCAAGGCCTAACATCTACCCTGATTTTTCTGTCATTTGTAATGGGTTCTGTGAGAGTCATATAGAGGTTCCCACAGGCAGAGAACTTTATAATCTGTGTGTGGAGGGAATGGCGTACAACTTCGTGAAGGTCCTTCATCAGACTCATCAATGTTTGGGAGTTCTTTCCCTCGTAGAAAGAGTTAAAAGAAGAATTTTTTCAGACCAAATGTTTCAAAAAAAGTAAATGGCAGATCAATGTTCATAACAAGTCTACGGCGTTTCTAAAACCTCCTCTGAGTCTTGTGGGAAAAATGCTGGGTAGAATTGACGCCATCCAAGATATTGATGTACAAGAATTTCTTGACTTTGTCTGGTACATAAAATGTCCCAGCCCCACATGATCGCACTTTTTTCAAGGCCTTCTACCCTGATCCTTCCTTCATTTGTAATGGTTTCTGTCAGAGTCATATAGAGGTTCCCACAGGCAGAGAACTTATATTGTGTGTTTGTGGAGGAATGGCATACAACTTCGTGAAGGTCCTTCATGTTTGTTTGGGAGTTCTCCTCGTAGCAAACAAAGAATTTTTTCAGACCAATGTTCATAAAAAGTCATACGGGGTTTTCCTGAAAATGCTGTAGAAATGAGATGTAGATGTACAAGTTCTTGTTTTTTTCACCTTTCCTCTGGAATTATTTCTTTGGAAAACAAATAAAATGTCCCAACCCCCCAGTACTTCGCACTTTCTCAAGGCCTAACGTCTACCCCTCATTTGTAATGGGTTTGTCAGAGTCATATAGAGGTTCCCACAGGCAGAGAACTTTATATTCTGTGTGTGGAGGGAATGGCGTACAACTTCGTGAAGGTCCTTCATCAGACTCATCAATGTTTGGGAGTTCTTTCCCTCGTAGCAAGAGTTTAAAAGAAGAATTTTTTCAGACCAAATGTTCAATGTTCATAAAAAGTCAACGGATTGTTTCTAAAAACCTCCTCTGAGTCTTGTGGGAAAATGCTGGTAGAATTGACGCCATCCAAGATATTGATGTACAAGTTCTTGTTTTTCACTTTCTCTGGAAATATTTGTTTGGAAAACATAAAATGTCCCAGCCCCATGATCGCACTTTCTCAAGGCCTAACGTCTACCCTGATCCTTCCTTCATTTGTAATGGTTTCTGTCAGAGTCATATAGAGGTTCCCACAGGCAGAGAACTTTATATTGTGTGTGTGGAGGGAATGGCATACAACTTCGTGAAGGTCCTTCATTAGACTCATCAATGTTGGGAGTTCTCCTCGTAGCAAGAGTTATAAGAATTTTTTCAGACCAATGTTCATAAAAAGTCAACGGCGTTTCTAATACTTCCTCCGAGTCTTGTGGGAAAATGCTGGTAGAATTGACGCCATCCAA